AGCAATGGGCTTCAATCTAGTTACTCCTAAACGCAGAAACTTTCTTCGTCCGTGTTTGTGAGTGCGCTGAGAGAGGCAACTTTGAAAGCCAGGCAGATGGGACCGCTTTCGAGTCCTTTTTATCGGGCTGAGCTGTAGTTTCACTAGGAGCTTTGGTTGAAAGAAATGGCCTACTTGCGATACATGTCAGCAAAAACAGATCGGGAATGCCAGGACTTTTTGTTCCTGGATGTTTCAGGTTTTGGAATTCCATATGACAATTTCACAGCTTGCACTCAGGCTGAGATGAACAAGCGAAGTAGGCCTGACCCAAGCTGATTTCATCAAGACGCATCATTTGTGAACCACATTGCACCACAATAGTATTTATTTGAAAACTATTACCAGTCATCCTATTCTAGCCCACCACTTTACCTAGCGTTCCATGTTTGTTGGATTATCCATCTTTGCTAGCAGAGACAAAGCCCCATGACTGCGTGACTTGCCTTTTCGGGTCTTTCCGTTGAAGCCCAGAGCCCCAGGTCTCGTCCGAAAGAAGGGCGGCCACCGTCTGGGACTCGATGCGAACAAAAGAACACTCGATCCTAGGTATTGAAGAAATGGTCCTGTTTCACTGGCAAACTTAGTCAAATCTTGTCGATATTGTAACGGCTCGTGAGAATGCCTGAGAAATCTGGATTGCCTTCCAAAAGTTTGGGCTGATCAATCCAGATTGATTTAGCAGTTGAATCCTCAAGCTCGCCTTGTCTCACAAAGCCACTGCTGCATCATTGCAGGGAAGCTCCAAATCGGCCTGGAGCACGTTCCACGGAGAGGACCCATGAACAAATGCAACTTATACGTAGATGAGAAGGATGACAATGTGCCAAGTTCCTCGCATGTTCTTTGTTCTGCTACCTGCATTCAATTTTTTCAAGACCAAATGAGCAAGCCAGCTAGCTGCTAGCTGCATCTAGAATTCAACATCTTGACAGGAAAGCACCCTCCGAGCCCTTTGACATCTTGGACAGGCACCGGGCCTCTTTGATGCCTTTCACATGTTTTCAAGCTAGCAAGTGACAATGTTGAGATGTTTCTTCAAAGTAGAGGCTAGCTCTGCCGTCAATGCCAACAAGAACTTGTCGCAGGCTAAAAGATGGTACACCTCCTGAACCTGAGGCTTCGACCTTGGAGTTTCATGGTGCAATTTGCATTCCTGGAGCTGAACATGTGTATTCAGTTCGTCAATTGGCAGTTCTCGTACTAAAATGTTTAAGCATTGCACTTTATCATACACAGAAACTGTTTCAGAAACTATGCGTGTTTCAACAACTACAACCGCAATTCAGAAATGAAGGTTCCTGTTCACACAAATGAAGACGGCGTGATTTGCAAGGAATTTGATGTGGAGTTATGCTTCCGAATCCCGCAAAACATAGTTCCGGGAACATGGATTTGCAATCTCCTCCTTTAGTTTGCCAATAATCTACACAAATCTGGTATAGTTTCCCATTTGACTCTTTATCACAGTGCAGTTGGACGGCTTTCTAATTCTAATTGAATGGTGTGTTTGCCCATGATAAATTCTGTGGACACTCATAGTGGATCAGCCCCTTTGTCCTGCCAGATTGACCCGTTACGTGAACCACCACGATCCAGTATGAGCATGGAGCGAGGCCTGGGACTTGTGTGTGTTTTCCTTCTGCATCTTTGCGCGGCAATGCAAACCCTCAGAGCATAGGACGGATCACTACAAGAGTTTGAACAGCTTCTGAAGGCTTCCACCAAGAATCATCCAGAGCATCTCGGAACAACAGCATTCGGCCTCAGTGTTGCAACCTTTCGTAATTAGCAAAGGGGATCCGCCCCGGCCACCCGAGGTCCCTTTCATGAGATGCCAAGCCGAGGCAAGATGTGATGTCGGGGGTTTTGTTCCAGTTCTGCATCTAAACTATCCTTTCTTGATCCAGATATATTTTAGATGATAAAGGATGATATACTATAGGATATATAAATATAGTAAGTAATCTCCAGACAGAACCGAGAATGAATCAAGAGAAGAATGAGGAAAGAGCGACATGCTGCCGACTGCCGCAATCTCTTTTTTCTTTACTATAACCCCAATGATCCATGGTCGGTCAATCTTGACCCTGTGCAATGTGATGGGATTGTGGAGGCAAACCAGCAAAAAACACAACAAACAAACCACGAGCATATTCTATCTCTTGCTGAGTGCTATTTTCAAAGCCAAATTGCTATAAAATCATGTCGCCCCCTCCTTATCAGCGAAGGCAATCCCTGCTTCCATACATGCTTTGTGCACACGATCGCACTGCTTTCTGGCAACAGGCTTGTGGAGGAAGCCAAAATAGTAATGTGGTATAAAACAACAAATCAATAGGTCTTACGGCTTCTCATTGTGAACATATTCTATCTCTTACTGCTTGCTATGTTTAAAGTTTAAAGTCAAACTGCTACAAAATCTTGTCGCCCCCCTCCATGTCAGCAGAGGCAATCCCTGCTTCCATGCATGCTTTGTCCACACGATCGCATCATGTATATACATATATAGTTCTGCATTATGTATATACATATGTATATATACATACAATCCTGCATACTTCTACATTATGTATTTACGTGTATGTATATTAATCGGCCCGTCGTGTAAAACGAGCCGACGCCGGAAACTCGTT